GACTCTACCTCGGTTTGTTCGGAAATCATGGTAGTCTTTACATGGAGATTATTAGGAACGGATGCGGACCGCCTCATCTATCCTCCCGAGGAGAGGTTTGGTTTCAAACCCTGGTTCGAACAGGACGAGTAAAGGCGAATGCTGACTTACTAAGGGTTGGGCTAATCGAACTGAGCAACTTTCATTGATTTCATTTCCGAACACTCGAAATGGGAGCAAGTTTGAAAAATGATCTTAGAGTGTGTAGGGTTGGACCGGGAGGGTCTCTTAATGCCATCAATGATTTAAAAAACACTTTTTGAAATCAATTATATAGATCTTACCACGTCATTTTGTCAACACACTTTTGTAAATCCCCTTTGTACAAGTAGCATAATTGAGGTCAAGGTGCGTTGGCCATCTAGAGAGCCGTAAATGTGGGTCAAACCAAGTTTGGCACGGGCTACGTGCCCTTGGACCATGGTGAGAGCAGAGAGCTCGGGTATTTGGAGAGGTATTAAGCTGTGGTTGATAACCGTTTTTTCTCAAAAACAATATTTTGAACAGTAATTCTTAGAAGAACATGTCGTTAAAAATTTTGAAACAATTTTGGATTTATGTGAAGAATATAATTATTTCAAAACTTTTTATTCTACATACTCATTTTCAACCATATATTTACACAATAAAATATTCTACAAGTAAACCCAAATTTTTTCCTACTTCTTAATCATACATTCTCCAAAATTTCACTATTCAAAACATTGTTTTGAACAAATAATGGCCATCAAATAAGAATTTTATTGTTTGAGTGTGATTGAAAAGTAGTACGTAAAAAAGAGAGTTTTTAAATAATGATTGTCAAACAGGGATTACATGGCTGAGACGAGCTGTTTAGCTTGCTCACCATCGAGTTCGTCCGAATCCATAACGTGAGTCGATTCGGGCTCGCTTGTGGGACGAGCTAAGCTCAAGCAGACCCTCTTTATCAAAGTGTCTTCACGTTATTTTTCACACATTTTGTGGAATTTACTATTATTCATCTTATGCTTTATTTTTATAAATCATGTATAAATTTGCCAAATAGATGCTTATGAATGATAGTAATTCCGTCGCAATATTTCCTACATATAAATAGATTTTATTGTGAACTTTTTATACATTTCGTGTTTGACAATCATTAAAATGAGTCTTTTTTTTTTTTTTGAAAAAAATGAGTTTTGGAATGGAGATTTTTTGAAAGATGTGTGGTTAACAGTAGGAATTTTTTTTGCGTTTATGTGTAAAATATTTTACTGTGAGAATATGTAGTTGAAAATGAGTTTAAAAAAAAATAGAGTTTTGTTTTAATGGTTGTCAAACGGAGGCTATATTAATTTGCTACATTGGTCGACAACAATGTGAACATGAGCTATTTTGATTCTATCTCCTGGCAGTATCCGTATAAATTAAAAAAAAAAAAAAAAACCGTGTTATTTAAATGCAATTTTTGAAATGATAAAGTGTTACGTAAACACGACTTTCGCAAGTTGAA